TCGACATCTCTTCATTACCATAGTTTGGAACAAACGAGGCCGAAATCTTGTCCTCTCGGAAGAAAATGAAAAATTAGTTAAGAGAATCTTCTTTCCTGATGGTTTTGAGGCGGGGGGCTAGTGGAAAATCATGAAAGCTATTTTTGAGCTTACTGAAACTCCCCTGCAAAACCCTTTCACAATTCCCATAAACACTAAAAAGCCTCCTTCATGTTTCCAGCAGCCATTAGTAGACGCATCTCAGATTTCTTTATGTTGTCCTACCTACAAAAGCAGTTTCAGCGTCCTTTTTGCAATGGTTGACAAGAAATCATACGCAAAACTGTTGAAAACCACTACGCTCTACCCTAGTCGGGCGATGGAGAAAGTACCCAACCTGCATATGAAAAACCTGATTTTTACAATTCAAATTATAAACCACTCCGGCAGGAATGCTTCCAAAACAATTCCGGCCCAAACTATAGTCCAGAAGCCCAAATACTCATCAACTCCAGACAGGAAAGCAAACAATCTAAGGCCCAAATACACCTGGGCAGAGAAAGGAAAATGGCACAATCAAGCGGGCCCGAGCAGAGTCTCAAACAAGAAGAGCAGCCCAATCAAGAAAGCTCTGAAGGTAAATTGGGTCTGGAGAACAAAGAAAAAACCCACAAACTCAAACCTGAACACATGTCCAAACTTGTTGGAAGAATTTCTGCAATGCCCGAACAGAGAAGATGAAGAAGAAAATGCAGCAACCCAGAACCCTAAACAGACACCTTACCATGATTCATCTGAGTTTCAAAAAGGAATCGGGAGGCCCGAATGTGATCTTGCCTCGACCATGTTTCTCTCAAACAAATGGCAAGATGAAATGCCATCAATCCCTAACCCAAGTATAAATTTAAATGAAGTTTCTCAATCAAGATTGATGATACATGCACAGGAACCGAACATGGGGATGGAAATGGTGATACATGCTTGAGAACAAGCACCGATCGGAGAAAACATTTTTCAGAATGATAAAATCATGCACATTAAAAAAATTACAGCCTCTCTTCACAAGTTGTTAAACGACAACAAAAAATACTATCCTATATTATTTTCTGAATGGATTGTGCAGAATATTCTATGCATCAGCGAAGAGTTAGGTACTTTTTCTTTAGTTATGAAATGGAAACACAGAACCTATTTTTTGACTTACAAAAGAAAATAGAAGGAAGAATTTATGAGCCTCCCTTACTGCAATCGGGAAAGAAGAAATAGAACGAAATGTGTCAAGAGAATTAAAGAGACTCCATTCCTCCATAAACTATGATGGACACACAGCAAGAAGACTAAGGGATCAGGTGATGAAACCAAGATTATCAAATGATAGAAAAAATCCTATCTTAGAATGTCAGAGGTCTAAATTACCAGAGAATGAGAAGTATCATTAGAGGTTGTCTTAACAGATGGAAACATTCCATTGTGTGCCTCCAAGAAACAAAAATGGAAACGATTATTGAGAAGATAATTAAAAGCATTTGGTGAATGGACAAGGTGGGCTGGCAGTTTCTCCCTACCAAAGGGTCTGCTGGTGGGATTTTAATTATGTGGAGAAAAGATCACTCTCTATGCCACAACTTCCTTCCAGGTGAGACCACTCTGTCATGTCTTTTTTTCAACTTAAATAATAGAAGCTCTTGGTATTTTTTTGTTGTATACTGTAGGGGTAACAATGATGAAAGGACAAAACTTAGTGAAGAATTATCTGCTATCAAAAACTTATGGGATAATAGGGATGTTGGAGATGATTTCAATATAGTTTTAAGAAGTTCTGAAAGGGCGGGTAGAACTATGTCTTCACAATTTGATATAGAGGAATTTCAAAAGTTGATTAATAATTTGGATCTCAATGATCTTCCATTAAAAGGGGGCCGGTGGACGTGAAGCAATCAAAGGGAACATTCATCTTGTTCAAGAATTGACAGATTTCTGGTTTCATCCGACTTGTTTCTTGACCTAGCTGGGATCAGTCAAAATGTGCTCTCTAGACCCATTTCAGATCATTTCCCAATCATGCTCTCCTCTGACGGAATCAAATGGGGTCCCATTCCATTCAGACTTGATAATAAATGGCTGGGTAATGACAGCTTCAAATCCCTGGTGATAAATGTCTGGACTCATACTCATATTTCTGGCACCATCAGCTTCAGAATTGCTCAAAAATTAAAAAGACTTAAAATAGAAATCAAAAGTTGGGCGAAAAATGCAAGCATAATGGAAGAGGAAAGAATTAACGACATCCTATCAGAGATTGATTTCCTTGACAGAAAAGAGGAAAATGTTTCATTGTCTGTAACTGATACGAATAGAAGAATCTTCTTGAAAATTGATTTGGCACAAAAACTACATTTAGAAGCAATTTCTTAGAAACAGAAATCAAGAGAGAAATGACTTAGAGACGGGGACAAGAATTCTAAATATATTCACATGTTAGTTAACCACAGAAGAAGCGTAAATTTTGTTGACGAACTTATTGTGAATGACAGATGCATCAAAGGTAATGAAGCTTTGAGAGAAGGGCAAAAGAACACTTTCAGAAATTGTTTTGTGACGAATCTTCTTGAAAACTGATTTGGCACAAAAACTACATTTAGAAGCAATTTCTTGGAAACAGAAATCAAGAGAGAAATGGTTTAGAGACGAGAACAAGAATTCTAAATATTTTCACATGTTAGCTAACCACAGAAGAAGAGTAAATTTTGTTGACGAACTTATTGTGAATGATAGATGCATCAAAGGTAATGAAGCTTTGAGAGAAGGGCAAAAGAACACTTTCAGAAATTGTTTTGTGAAGAATATAACTGCAAACCCAATCTTGACAATCTTCCATTCAACAGTTTAAGTGATAGTGAAAGAGATCAGCTTGAAGAAAAATTCACTGAAGAGGAAATCTTGGGCTGCCTTAAGGAATGTGATGAGGACAAATCCCTAGGTCCGGATGGTTTCAACGTCAAGTTCCTTCAATCTTTTTGGGATATCATCAAATATGACATATTAGAGCTATTCAATGATTTCCACAGCTACAACACCTTTGTAAGATCACTCAACTCTGCTTTTCTTATCATGATCCCCAAAAGAGTTCAGCCAAAGAATTATAATGATTTTTGTCCTATAGGTCTCATTGGATGTATTTACAATTTTTTATCCAAAATTCTAGTAAAAAGATTATCAAATGTATTAAAGAACATCATCGGAAACTGTCAACACGTATTCGTTTATGGGAAATAGATCCTGATGCCATTTTAATTGCTAATGAAACAGTTGACAAAGCCATTAAACACAACAAGGAAGGAATTTTGTGTAAACTTGACATGGAAAAGATGTTTGATCACATTAACTAGAATTTCCTGGATTATATACTTTTGAGACTTGGTTTTGGACCCAAATGGAGAAGCTCCATAAAAACATGTGTTTCCACTACTAGTTTTGTTGTGATCGTCAACGGTGGGCCCTCCACTTTTTTCAATGCCTCTAGAGGCCTACGATAAGGGGATTCCCTTTCTCCACTCTTATTCATTATTGTGATGGAGGCACTGAATCTCTGTCAACTGGATTTCAGCTCTCTCATCTTCCTAAAATGTATTCTACTATACTTTCAGACTGTCTCCGCTTTAAATATAAATCTCTAAAAATCTGAAATGGTTTTGCTGGGAAACAACTTTAGAAATGAAGACTTCAGTGTGGTTTTGGGCTGTAAGTAGACACAGTTACCTATCACTTACCTTGGGGTTCCTCTTGGCACCAAGCACAATGATAGTAATTGCTAGGAACCTGTGATCGATTTGTTCAATAACAGATTATCTACTTAGAAGAAAAAATTTCTATCAAAAGGAGGTAGATTGACTTGATTAAAAGTACACTCTCCAATCTCCCGATTTACCTTTTATCGGTGCTTAACATACCAAATAAGGTGGCAAAGAAACTAGAGTAGATCCAATATAACTTTTTTTGGGGTGATAGTGAAAATTACAAGAAATACCACTTAGTGAATTGGTTATAGATAAAAAAATCCTTAAAAGAAGGAGGTTTGGGACTAAGATCAATAGTCAAACTAAACAAGGCACTTCTTGATAAATAGATTTGGAGGTATTGGAAGAAAAATGACAGTCTCTGGAAAATAGTGATAGACTCAAAATGGTATAATGACAATCCACAAAATCTCTCTTATATTAAAAACAACAACTATAGTTACAGTTTATGGAAGAACATCATCACACTAAATAATGTGATATTTCAGTGCTCAAAATGGAATATTGGTAATTGGTTCAAGATTCGTTTCTAGAAAGATTTTTGGTGCGGTTCAGAAAAATTAAAAGATAAATATCGCCTTATCTATGAGATTACTAGAAACAAAGCTATCATAGTAAATGATATTGCTAGTTCAGTCATTCCTGCCTCCTGGAGTGTCCCAATGATGAGGAACTTTCAAAATTAGGAATTAGAAGATTATCAATTCTTACTTCACTTATTGGCAAACACACAACTACAAAATCAAAACAATAAAATGCATTGGAAATTAAAAAAGAATTGCCTCTTCAGTGTCAGCTCTCTCTACTCTTTTCTGTCCGGTTATAACTCTAATGAAAAATATCATTTTCCTTAAAAAATTATCTGGAAATTGAGTGTCCCCCAAAGAATTGCTTTTTTTGCTTGGAAAGCTGCAAAAGGGAAAATCCTCACAATAGAAAATTTGATGAAAGGAGGGCATATTACTGTCAACAGATGTTTTCTATGTAAGCGATCTTTTGAATCATGTAATCATCTACTCTTCAAATGTCAAACATCTCACAAACTCTGGAGCACGATACTTGGGCTTCTAGGGATTTCTTGTGTAGTAGCAGATTTTTTTTATTCTGAACTTCTAGTATGGGAAGGTTTGAGTAGTAACAAAACGCTTAGATTAATCTCTTTTATCATTTTCTAGGTTATTTAGAAGGAGAGAAACAACAGGGCTTTTGAAGGACTTGAACCAGATTTTAATAGCATCAAAGATAAATAGTTTCATTATTTTGGCTCTACTGTTTTAGGGCATAATCTTGAATGTTTTGAAAATCTAGATTTTATTGTAGATATACTAATTGACATGTAAATTTTTTGTAAATGGGTGGTGCTCTCTTAACATCTCACATTAATACATCTTCTCTTCTTTTATTTCAAAAAAAAAAAAAAAATCCTTCTATAGCACAATAATGTGATTGTTACTTTTGTTGTATATATGTGTGATGCCCATGCGATTGTATGATTAAATGTACATTTGTGCATTTATATCACCAGTCTATGGCTAATAAACTCGAGCAATAAGTAGAGACTGAATGCAAAGGTCACGCAATCTAGATGCCTAATGCCTTCAAGATAAGTACTTAACTTCCTCACCCTTAACTAGTTAGGTTGTTCGAGCAAGAAACTGAGTTGATTAATTCTTTTACGAGTTTCATATGGGTGGGGCGATCCTTTTATTTC